GAAATTTCATTTTTTTGGCTGTTTCTAGAAAACTATCCTACTGACTTTAACTATTTTTTTTGTAGTAGGGTTAACTACCCCATTTTCGGCCTATTAAGCACAACCCGCACTTAGTATTTCTTAATCTAGCACAGTTTAGCACCAAACGGAATGTTATTATTACTGATGGCTTCCAAAATTATTTACCATTCTGTACGTACTGTAAGATTTGATAAATAGGAACCAATCGTTGAGATATTGTCAAAAGCCTAACACTGCTTCTTGACGCCAAACTTGGCCTATGGATTCTAAACTTGGCCTAACGCATTGAAACGCCATTCAAAGGCCAATGAATTCACTTCGGCCTATCGGATGAAGATAAAAATTGATTCGGTCGGAGCGCTTCTTTTGTTTTTGTGAATTATCGATGCAAACCTTCATATCACGCGTTCTCATTAATTTCGTTCGGTAGCTAAAGTATCGTACCAAACTCATAATTGACTTGTTAACTCTGAAATCATGGAATTATTTTGTTTTTTCTGCACGATAGGCCCAAAATGGGCGATTAGCCCGAAGTAGTTCTCTACCCTACTTCTGCGTGAAGTTAACGATTTGCATAGTAGGAGATGAAAGCATAGAGTTGATAGTTCCGTTAGAGTACGGCAGTGTGAAAATTGTATATAGAGAGTAGAAAGCGAGCAAGGACAACTTTTTAGGAAGGTACAAATCGGTTTGATCATCTCTCTTTACCGAACTCTCCCGTTGGAGAGGGATGGTGAGGGGTATCCTCCCGCCACCACTGGCAAAAATTGTCGGTACATGAGCGAGTTGGTGATCATCTCTTTTTGCCAGTGGTGGCGAGGGGGGGAGGGGGGGCTATACATCTCACCATCCCTCTCTAACGGGGGAGTTCGGTAAAGAGAGATGATCAAACCGATTTGTACCTTCCTAAAAAGTTGTTCTTGCTCGCTTTCTACTCTCTATATACAATTTTCGCACTGCCGTACTCTAACGAAAGTAAAAAAGCATAAAGAAAAAACAGTTGCTATTTTTCAATACCTGGAAAGACTTATTAAAATGCAAACTTAGAATGGCTAAGAAAGACGTCGAAAAAAGGAACACATTTCATGGATCATTGCGGAGTTTGTTTGATATCGGGAAGAATTTTAAGGCAAAAACCCGTGAAGAAAACCAGGCGATGCAATATTTGCAAAAACAGCGGGAACAAGCTCATCTTGAAGAAGAAACTGAGGTTCTCCCTACCAATGAAACCATTTCGTGCAGCGATTTTGAGGAAGAAGGGTCAAGCCAAAGACCGGATCAAATTTGTAGTGCAACCTCAATTGAAACATCATCACAAAACGACAGCCAGGCTGGGTCAGTGTACTCGCCTAGTACATCCGAAAGAGCTTCTCCAAAAACAGGTACGTTGTGATGTTTTACTAATGTTTTTTTTTTCTTTTAGATTATACACCTATTACCATCCATATTAATATATTTTGAACGTTCTAGGTTCTCCAAAACCAGCTTTGACACGTAAATCGCAACTGATACGAGTAGTTACAGTTGAGGTAGGTGCTGCATTGGACCGCTGTAAAGTGAGTGATCGAAATGCTGTGTTTCTAATATCATCGATCGCTAAAGCTTTAGGGCACGATGTTTCATCATTACTGTTGAACAAGGAATCTATCAGAATCGCCAGAGCAGGAATTCGCTTACAAATGCAACATGATTTAAAAGCGTCGTTTAAGCCAGATATAAATTTAACAGTACATTGGGATTCTAAGCTGCTACCTAACATATTACCATCCAAAGCTCTACCAAAAACCGAGCGCTTGGCCATAGTTGTATCAGGCGAAGGCATTAGCAAATTATTGGCTGTTCCACCCATCGAAAACTCTAACAACAAGCAGAAGCGGTGTACAATGTAGTCGTCGAATGGGGGCTTGCGGACAGGTATGATCTTAAATCTTGTATGTTCACCTCAGAATTCTGACTATTTTATCGTTTGTTTTCAGAATTATGTTTACATCTTTTGATACTACTGCATCAAACACCGGTAGAAAAAAAGGAGCGTGTCAGTACCTGGACAAATTGTTTAAGAGGCAGCTTATAGGCCTCCCTTGTAGACACCACATACATGAAATGCTACTTGGCAAAGTTTTTAAAATTCTGAAATTTGAAACGTTAAAGTCTCCAAATGTTGAGATTTTTAAGGAATTCCAATCAACATGGCACATTTTGGAAAAGACTTCATACCACTCAGGTATGGATGATGATTTTTTTTTAAATAGCTATTTCGGAAATAGAAAGATTGGCGTTATTGGAGTTTATGAAAAACAAATTAGAGAGCAACACCACCATGGTGATTACCGAAAGGTTCTACAACTTGCCATTTTAACGGCGCTGGTGGTGTAATGGTAAGCGTGATTACCTCTCACCCCAGCAGGCCTGGGTTCAATCCCAGTCGGCACCGCCGGGATGTTCTGAGGCATAACATCTCTGATCACACCTTCCTTCGGATGGGAAGTAAAGCCGTTGGTCCCCGGTTCATGAGTTGATGGGTTGATAAGTAGGGTCCAGGTGTGGGAGCTGCCTTCCTGGCACGTCGGTAGCATTGGTGCTCAGCACGGAAAACAAGGTCGACGGAAAAAAACAAACCAAAGAAAAAAAAAAAAAAAAAAATCGGCCGTTTTATATTTGGGTGGAAAAATCGATGAAAAATTACAAATAAAAGCTCCTGGTGCGTTCCACAATGCAAGGTGGATGGCCAAAACCATTTATTCTTTGAAAATGTTTATTCTTCGGCATGAATTTGCTTTACCAGATAAAACTAAAAATCAACTAGCTCGATTTTGTGTGTTCATTGTAAAAATTTATTTGAAAAGTTGGTTTCTTTCTCCGTGTGCTGCGATGGCACCCAACAACGATCTGAACCTGTTAAAAATATTGAAGGAATATGAAACTGTTGATAAAGACGTTGCGAAAGCAGTACATAAAGGAATTTTAACTCACTTGCAATATTTGGACAACAGCCTTATCGGACTATGTCTGTTCGACGAAAATGTAGACCTCCCGGTTAAGAAAAAGGTCATCATAAAAACATTACAGCCAGATCCATTGTTGAATCCAACGATATTTCAACGATTGAACTACACTCGTTTGTACAAGGCAGCAGTGATATTGAAAACTTATTCAAAGCTCTCCAAATTCCGAAGTCGTGGCTGAATGTCGATATGGAGCAGTGGAGTAATTCCATCGAGTTTAAAAATGCCAAAAGACGGGTTCAATGTTTGGAAGTAGTTAATGATAATGCAGAGCGTGGTATAGCATTGATTTTTTTTCCTTTGGTTTGTTTTTTTTCCGTCGATCTTGTTTTCCGTGCTGAGCACCAATGCTACTGACGTGCCAGGAAGGCAGCTCCCACACCTGCACCCTAGTTATCGACCCATCAACTCATGAACCGGGGACCAACGGCTTTACTTCCCCTCCGAAGGTAGGCGTGATCAGAGATGTTATGCCTCAGAACATCCCGGCGGCGCCGACTGGGATTGAACCCAGGCCAGCTGGGGTGAGAGGTAATCACGCTTACCACTACACCACCGGCGCCGTTACATAGCATTGATTAAAACATACAATTCAAAACTATCAACGGATGAAGATCAAAAGCAGTGCATTTTAAAATTAGTTGAAGATCATCGAAAAAATTATAAGAGTACAAGGAAATCTGATTTGGTGTAGCTAATAAGGAAATATATGACAAAGTATAAAACAAGTATTTTTTCTCTCTTGTGTAAAACTCATGAGTCCAAAAAAAAAAAACAGATTAACGCAATTCAAGATATTTTTACAATTGATTTTTAGGAATTTCTGATGAAAAGTTGTGGTTTTTCAAAAAATTTTGAATTTTTGGCCACCCTAATGAAGAATAATTGGACCACCCTAGTGAATTATTTCGTATTAGATCCTAAATGGTGGTTTAATTCAATATATAAGCAGGTTGGAGAAAATTGTGAACAGTTTAAGAAGCCGACTCATCAATCTTCTATATTCCATATCGAACTCATGAAAAAAAAAAAATTCCCAGAAAGTCGATTTGAAAAAAAAAAAAAAAATTCGTGATAACACCAAATCTCGACGTTTCATGCATTTTTATGACATTTGGCATCAACAAAAATTGTTTGATTTCCGAAATTTCATGTAGCGGCGCCGGTGGTGTAGTGGTAAGCGTGATTGCCTCTCACCCCAGCAGGCCTGGGTTCAATCCCAGTCGGCGCCGCCGGGATGTTCTGAGGCATAACATCTGTAATCACGCCTTCCTTCGGAAGGGAAGTAAAGCCGTTGGTCCCCGGTTCATGAGTTGATGGGTCGATAGGTAGGGTCCAGGTGTGGGAGCTGCCTTCCTGGCGTCGGTAGCATTGGTGCTCAGCACGGAAAACAAGATCGACGGAAAACAAATCCAAGGAAAAAAAAAAAAAGAAATTTCATGTACCCCCCCCCCCCCCTTGGGAGATTTTCGAGAGTGAAAAAAGTCACATTTTGACGCGTTTGCGCCACCCCTAAATCATGTCCGATTGAGCTCAAATTTTGCATAGGGTAATTTTTCGAGGCAATAAACATTTTGTATATGGTTTGTTAGCGAAATTAAAAATTACCATTTTCGCTGGCAGTCTACTAAGCAGTCCTAACACACTGCCATAAGCTACTCCTGATGTAACATCAAAATCAGAAGAATCTGCTATTTCGATTTGGATAAATGCTCTCCGGTTTGTTATATAAGATCTAAGCCACTCAAAGATACCAACCGCCTTAACCAGGCAATCAAATCTATCAGCTCTGGCCTGGAATCCCGTGTATTTGCTAACTATTTAGGATGTAGGCCATCGGGGGAAGTTACTTTACTACGGCAAACGTTTACCTCCAATCTAGAAACCCCTCATGTTGATCCTAACTGTCACCCCATGTTTAACTTACTCTAAACCCTCGTCATCCAACATATGGAACCATCAAGGAAAACCTACCTTAGACTCTATCGGTGGATGACTGGTGCTGGTAGGCGTCGGTGCCGGTGTGGATGTGTCCTGCTTTTGAATTGTGATCATCTCCATAGACAGATGTAGCCGGGCCAGTTCTGGTTTGCTTTTGCCATCGCTTATCATCACCATTCCGGAGCGGGTCTATAAATTCATGAAAATATAAACAAGCAATGGGTAAACGCCCGAAACAATAATAACCATTATTGCTTTCATGATTACCTTGAGATTCTGATCGAATTTCTCTTCTATTGGTGTTGCCATTTTGGTGGTTGCGTTAATCTTCATATTTTCTGCGAATGAAAGAGAAACGGGAAAAGAAAATTTTATTATTTTATTCCACACTCTGGTCGTTTTATTTTTCAAAGGGCAGTTCAATTTTAACTTCCAGGTCTTCCGGAAAACTTACGCAGAAGCCTTCTTCCCCATTCATTGGCGAATAGGTGCAGGTGCTTGCGAATATGCTACATAGTGTGAGCCTCCATTCGATCGGGATGGAAAACTAATTAAAGTTCGAAAATAAATTGCCCCTGATTGGGCAGATCCTCCCACACCACTAGCCGGTGTAGGTTGTTGAGGTTGAGAGAAGGGATTTCCGTTTCCTCGAAGGAAAGTGTTTCAACCGAAACTTTTCTGGTCAGATCAGCCACGGCGAAGGAGAAATTTGTCAGTACGGAAATGATTTATGTTTCAAGGAGAGTTGGAAAAACCATCAGAAGGGTGATTTTTGTGTTCACTACAAAAATGCAATTCATCCGAATCCGAAAAAAAAACTGCTCTATTCGGGAGTTGATCGTTAAGGTAATAAAAACGATAATACTGGAATGAACTGCGCTCATAACTAGTGGGGGTGGGGGATCTAGATTTATGAGTATGCTTTTCGTATGAAGACAAGTGAGCAAGCACCCGATTGCATTGGAAGGCGTCTGCTTGCGTTCGCATTATTTGTGTTTGTACGGTATGTTTACTGTTTGGCTTAGACTGGATGATGTGAGGCCGGTCGTTATGAACGTTTGAAGAATGCTGTTACGCAATGCTACATTGAGGTCATTCAAACATAAATTGATATGAATGTCCGTTCGATTGGCGTTTGTGGTGATGTATTATTTTCGATTTTTCAAAACAAAGTCATAATTACCGCATAAACACAAAATTATATTGATTAAAACGACATTGAAAGGGAAAACTATCATCCAATTTACATAATATAATCAGAACGATGCAACTAATCGAATGTCCAGTTCAACATTCGCCTTAGCAGAGCTGCAAGGTAAACAACTTCGAGCAGTGGAAAATATGGAAAAACATGTCCCATTGTTCTAAGCTGTCCATCTCGCCCTTCCAATTAGTTTTTCTCCGGTTTTCTGCATGGAATGTGGCGGGTAATTTTCTCCTCGCCTCGAGATAGGTGCAAATTAAAAGAATGTAAAAGTAAACTTCACCGCAGCCGCCGTCGTGGATGGCTAGTCGAGCATGGTTTGGTCATCACCGCTACAGTCAGTGTGAGAATAAGCCTGGTCGGTTGGTAGATTGACAAAGACAGATGAGAAAAGGTAGGAAAAACTAAATATAGATCAACAAAACCCCTTTGGCATGAGTCATTATTCAAATATTGTTGTCACAGTTGGGGCAGTTCCAGGACGATGGAAAGACAAACGCTATGCATTGTCAGCCAGTGCCTCCAGGTATGGTGACTTGTGACCTGGGTGAAATGTTTTCGGTTCTTGAAGTAACGGTGTTGTTTTCTCAAAAGTTGCAACCATTGGACCATTTACAGGCCAAATGGTATAACACATAAAAATGTAAGATCCGATTTGCATGAAACATTGCGTAATTATGTGTTATGGGTAATCATTCAGATTTTGGTCAAAATTTGGTCATTTTGGATTTTTTTTAAATGGCGTTTTTGACATTTTTCAATAAATGTGTAGTACTAAAACGTCACTTCTGATCGAAATTACGTCTGACACAAAGTTGGTTAGAAAAGTAAAGCAATTCTCGGAAAAATATTAAATATAAACTGAAATTTCTGAAAAAAACTTTAAATTCAATATTTATAATATTTATAATTTAAGCTGCTTTCCATAGTGCTATTTAAAATTAATTTTAATTCTCTTTAGAAATCTCTAGTAGTTCACCTAATAACTGTCGGAAATCTCATTTAGAATTATTTTGCTCTAAATACTTCTGAAGTTTTGCTTGGAAATTTCCTTAAAATTCCCTAGATTTTTTTTTCATGATGCCCTTGGAATTATCCTATGCTCTTGGTGTTTTTTCCGGATTCTGGAATCCTCTTCACAATCATCATGGCTATTTAAAAATTCTACTCTGAACTCACACAATTGACTGGATGTTAAAGTCTTAACTAGCTTAGGGTTCCTTCTGAGGCTCCCTTTAATTTTATCTGAAATACCTTGGTCAGAGCTTAAAACTATTGACTGCCTAGGCTGAGTGTGAAAGCACTGCACTATTCAATCCATTGCTCTGTGCAGACCGTTTGTACCAAACGGTAAAGGACGAGGCAATGAAAGAGCCAACAGTCACTCACGAGCAGGCGACGCACACCGCTTGCCTTCGCTCACATAGCATGTAATTAAGTCATTTTTCCATAGAAAATTTACGCTCAGTCATTCAAAACAAATATTGGCTACCATCACGGCAGAATAAACGTGTTGACTGAGTGCTCGGCTGTCAGTGACTCGTTTACCTCTGAATCATTCAGACTCTCACGAGGCAGTGAATGATGAGGCAGATGGCAGTTCATATTCATATCAAAATGACTCAATGAACCTGACTGTTTTGCGCACTGACCTTGGTAAAAGGATTGAACACCCCTCGAACAGAAGTAGGGCATTTCGATGATTAGTGCAGCTTTGAATGCGCTACTTACGCATGCCGAGGAATTGAACTTAAACTTACTTAAATGTTTAACTTATATCCATCTACCTTAAATCAAGATCTTAGCCTAATTGTTGATAATTGTAATTTGTTGTCTAGAATCAGAGATAGAAATTCTCACTCAGCTGCACGATAAGCATTTCCTCACTGAAGCTACTTTTCGGTGAGTTGTGAACCGTTCACATTTTCATCTCTCCTTTTTCACCGATATTTCATTATCCTCTCTGATACATAATCCGAAAATATCTCTCTTCAAAAACCAACGAAAATACTTTTTCATCACCCATTTGGCTCTGAAAACTACCAAGAGCGAAAAAAATACCACCCCAAATTGTTCGGTTCCAATCCAATGTGATGTTAACAGTTGAGGCTTGGAAATTCGCCGTCTCGTTTGTTCTTCCGCTGATTAAATGGTTGACGGAGTGTGCCGTCATCCTGTGTTATCCATTTAAACAGCGGCAGAAGGAAAGGGACAACGATTTCACATAGCCTCACCTGTTTGCATTTCGTTTGTTTCAACCAGTACAGCAGATTTTTTTTTATTTCCTTTTTATACCTTCTGTCATATCATAAGGGTCATCCATAAATGACGATGCAATTTTCTTACCAATTTTAGACCTTCCCCTCCCCCTTCGTGGCGTTTTTTCTTTACCTTATGCATGGTCCGTTACAAATGTTGCAACCCTCTCTCCATTACTCCTCAAATTCTACGTAACTTATGGATGTTCCCTAACTTTTGTTTTGGTTCTTAATTTCGGATCGTCGTTGGCGTGCGGAAAGTGAATTTTTAGGTGTATGAAAGAAGTGAAAAATCATTATCGGCATCAAGAATTCACTGAAAAAGAAACGATTTATCTGCCGCTTATGCTCTCCGAAAAAAATAAATCGCTGTTGCTTTTCTGCTGTGAGCGTATAATATTCTCTCGCTTCTCACATTCTCATCTATTTCTCCTAGCAGGTGAAAAATGACGTTTCTCTTCTCAAGTAGGCGAACATTTCGATCTCTGTCTAGAATCATACTATTTAGGAGACTAAATGTAAGTACATGTTAAATTCGTAATATGTCAGGCCATCTAAAAATAAATTACCCTTTCAGCTTTGAGCTTACTTGCACCACCCCCGAGTTTTCTTCGGGGATTCACAACACCTTGGTGTTATCTCTAAAAAAAAAATATTTGCCAAATTCCTTTGAAAAAAAAACCCTAAAGTTCTCACACAAGAGTGAATTTTAAAATATCCGTATCTGCTTTTGTAAATTTAATGTTTAGAATACTCTACCCTACCCTATGGTGGTGTTATTTTGCGTAGCCAAGCAAAGAGTTCCGACAAATTGACGTTTTAAGCTTTGTTTACAGAAGCAGATATGGCCTTTTTGAATATTCACTCTTGAATAGTTTTTCAAAGTGCCTGATACATCGACAAATATAATTGTATAATATAATATAATTGACAAAAATATTGGAACGAAATCGCTCAATGCTACGTAGAGATCTCCGGCTTGACTCGCAGTGGAACCCGCCATTTTGCAAAAGTTTAGTGAACAGGAATTACGTTGATTATATTGCGTTTATTATTTGCTTTTTATTATTATTTACGTTTGGAAACAAAAGTGCCGCCACACGACGCATGATACGTATGTTATAGTTCTCTATGACATAGCCGATTTTGTTTTCTATATCATAGTTCAATGAGATTTGGGAAACAATTTTCAAAAACTTTGAACTATGACGTAATAGTAGCTATGTATGTAGTAGAAAACTATGACATTGTGCTATAACACAGAGTTTTCGAGTGTACACATGATTGATTACTGGTCACGTCTTCCTTCGGAAGGGAAGTAAAGCCGTTGGTCCCGGCCCATGTGTGTTGAATGGGTGCGATATCCTACGCAGGTGTGGAAGCTGCCTTCCTGCACATTCGATTGCCGTCAATGGATGGCAATCGATGTCCGTCGGTGATTGGCACTAGATTGCGGAACAGAGACCGACGTTAAATAAAAAAGGAAAAAAAAACATGATTGATTGCACACAAAAGCATTTTTGATGGCTTAATGAACCTGTGCACATGTCCTGGAGAAAGTTTCACCGGTTACTACCAAGCAGGATACCAATATGCGCAAGATACTTTTTTTTTTCACCATTCATTGACATCTTATTAATATGAGTTCGAAGTTGTGATCAGAAAATTGACTCTTGAAATGGCCTTCCAGAGGATCAAAATCATCCCTTAAAGAGGTAAACTCATGAAATTGATCCTAGAGCTTTTCTGATCGTTCGAAATCACTTATAGATGTCTTATCAGAATAAAATGGGAGTTGTGACCGGAAAATGGACCCTTGGAACCACGAGATGGTCCGTTTTTTTAAAACCACTCATTGGAATCTTATCAGAATTAA